TGACTATAACTGTATTTTATAAAAATAATCCTGCATAACTTAATGAGAAATTATTCCTGAAATTTCACTTTTTACTAATAGAATTTTCTATTGGTACATGTTAATTAAGAAGTATTAAGTGTTATAAAGATGAAAAATAAGAATTTCTTTATTAAGATACAAACATTAGTTAGATCTTAAGATCATATTACGAATGCACTGTCAAGTTTTGTTTTCTCTTAAAGTTTTCTAAAGAATAGATCTGATTTTTTTATGTTAAAATGTTTTATCCAAGAATTTTTGCTATCTGTAATTTCGAAAAAAAAATTAGAGAAATTCGGACTTCCTGAAAATAAAGTCTTCATGTAAATGCAATACAATATACTTTTCTTTAGTAAATATGAAACAAAGCATTCAGTCAGTATAAGACATGTTGACAGAAAATATCTAATTCATAGACAATCAGATAGTTTAAATTAAAAGAATCTCATTTAATTCAAAGATAGAAATATTTGCATGGTTGCATTTTGTACTTTACGGATGTATAGAAAGAACTTTAAAACGACTTAAAGAATGTTCTTCTTTTTCAGAGGATAACTTTGTAACAGTAAACACACAGCAAGTCATGTTTATATTTCAATGGTAGTGTTGATTTACTTGCCACCCGTTTCCATATCCATATCAAAGTATTTAGTCATGTATCAGAATGTTAAATAGAACATTAAATAAAATGATTATTCAGCAAGATGTTTAATGGTCTAGCAGAAATTATATCAGTTGAAATAGCTTCCAAATTGAAAAAAATCGAGTAAATACATATTTTTATTGTCAATGAATACCATTAATAAATTAGTTTATTTACATGTATTTTATCAGATGACATTCTTTCTTAGTTGACTATGGATGATTACTTTTATTTTTTCGATATACAATTCACTGAGTAAATATTCTATAAAAACCAACTTCTTTTCGTTGGATGCAGAAAATCAAGATACAATGATTCTTTCTGTTGCAGACGAAATATAAGCATGAGGTATCATTCAGAAAACAAGCTGACAGCGTTTCTTGAATAATAACTTGTTTAAACTTTTGATGAAACCGATTGTTTGTGGTATGAATCAAATAGTGAAATTCTCATTGAAGATATTCTTTTGACTGTCAAGGAAAAACATCTCAAAATAGAACTCAAGAAGAAATTTTCTTGTTTGTTCAATAATAAGGATTCAAATGGACCATCATAATATTCAATATTATTATAAATTATGTTAGATTGATTACTAACAAGATTGAATGAATTCCAAAATGATCGAGAATATCATTCTTTATTATCGTATGCACGAAGAATATTTTAGAGTATTTTACTAATTTTTTGATAACATTGCTACAATATTCATTCATTTTTTTTGTGTTGGTAATCATATTTTCCAGAAGTTTAATTATCTTTTTCTCATCAATGTTTGAGTAATTCGATCAGTCTTATCAACGTTAGATGATGTTATATGATATTAATTATCATTTAATCCTTATAATGGTCGTATCCTTCTCTTAAACTGGTAACCAGAGATGAATATTTTCATTTAACTATTTTCATTTGTTAGTACGATGAAAACACTTTCTTAATCTCAGTTATTCTTCTCTTTTTTCTTTGAATTCCGATCTGAAGACTTATTTTCCTTAAATGAAGGAATGACGTCAATAACCAGGACGACATGAGATCCAATGTAATTTAAACTACCAGATTATTACAACTGAAGCCTTCCTTACAAGTCTATCTTCTTATTTTGTCAAATATGGAATTCATTAAGAATATTTTACGAATTTAAAAAATCTGTATATGAAAGATCATTTGATCAATCTATCAACAACAAATACGAAATGCAGTTTCATTTTTTGCGTCCCTTTTGAATATTTAATTTGTTTTGAACGTTACTAAGCAAAACTGAATTTCCAGAATAGAGATCTACCTCTAGTCATTTTAAAATTGATTAAAAATCTACGACTCTCGAGAATCTTATGTCAAGAAAATAAAAAGAGCTGGATTTTGAATGTTCATTAATCAAAATGCTGCTTATAACCAAGAATACATCCGTTTCAAATACTAATTGCATTCTTTTTCATTCTTTCACATGAAATTCTCGAATTTTATAAATTATTTTCAGTGTTCAAGGTAATGGATAAAGACTTTGAAATATGTATATATGAAGATAAGAAACTCTCAAATGATTCGACTAATAATTTTTTACTGTTTTATATTAAAAGAGCGTATGCTCCTCATTGGAATCAATTCTCTCTATAATAACTTTTCTCGTTTACTAAGCTCTTTCATCCATCAACTTGACATATGCATAATACTACCTTCAAGAAAAAAAATTCTTTTCATTCTAATTTAGGATATATGACGGAACATTCCAAACAAGGGGGGTGAAACAAAGAAACACAGTCACAATCAATTCTACAAAATAAATTTTTCTAGCTTAATCATTTACAAAAGTTTGAAGAAATATTTTTACTATTTATCAAATTTTTCTCACAAAAAAAACAATATCAAATTTGAAAAGTTTCATTGATTCATATTTTTATCTAGTCCTTCTCCAGGTTTTTTTTTTAATACTTCGGAGTACTCCTGGATATACAAATGCATAGTAGCATTTTTTTTCGTTGCTTCCAGTATTAGTGAAACTTTTTCTCGATAAAAATTTTCGTAAACTATTTCAAGAGTCGAAAAAACGATTCGTGCTAGAAACTCATTGTCGAACTTATAATTTTTAAAATGCAATAAAAGTCCAATGGACTTCTATTCTATGGTGGACTTTAATTATATCAGCAGTGATATAATCTCCCAGGGTTCTTTCTTTCTTCTTCATTCTTCATTATTTCTCGGTTATTTTTTTCATACACTTACTTTTCTCTGTCTCGTCTAAATATTATAAGTGCATTATATATAAAATAAATATATTTTAGAAATGAAAAGTTGAAAATGATCATCAATTCCTAGGAAGACATTAAGCTACTCTACTAGTTTGCTATTGTACACGGGCAGCAATCTAAAATCTCAATAGACATCACCATAATGGATGAGATATAGATTTAATTTCTTTGAAGATAACTTAGATTTTTATGCTCTTCTATTTTATTACTCATATTACCATGATAAGTACTTTGGAAAAGATTCATGATTATGGATGTTCTGTTCTTTGAGGATGGAAGTATATATATATTGATGAACACGGCACTTTCATCAAATGCATATTCTCTAAGCCTAGTGTTATATTTTTCAATTGAACCTTTTGTAAAGTTTTTCTTTTACCACAGTGTAGTGTAGGAGTAAACATAAACAAGAATTATCTTCAAATATTACAGTTTTTAGGTTTACGCGTTCTATATAGATAAAATAGATGACACCACGTTTACGTCAATCTCGTTAAAGGTATTAAATCGCACCATATGATTGAGTCATTGTTCTTAAAAATGAAAAGTTTAAAAATTCTCTATCACATAAAAATGCTTCAAAACAGAAATCTATAATTTAAACACTATTAGTCACCAATATAAACTTATTTTAGAACCACGAATCAATTTCTAATACATTATCGACTATATTTATTAAATGCCGAATTTCACTAAGATAAATCATGTCATCGTTGGAAATGGCTATTGCATATCAAATGGCTACAACTAATCTTTACAAATATGGTGGACCAATTACTCTCGCTCTCGGAAGTCTAGGCGGAATACTCAACTTATGTGTATTTACACAAAACTCCATGCGTCGAAATCCGGGCTCGATCTATTTTGTGGCATTTAATATTGACAATTTGATGCTGTTATGGCTTGGTTTATTTCCATTTACTTATGCCTTTGCTTCTGATTTTGATCCAACAATATATAATAGACCCTATTGCAAGGGGGAAAAATCTCATTCGGACAGTCGGAGCCATTCGCTACCATTCGCAACTAATCGCTGCCATTCGCAGCCAATCGCTGCCAATCGTAGCCACTCGCTGCCATTCGCAACCACTCGCAATCACTCGCTGCCACTCGCAATCACTCGCTGCCACTCG